GAGCCGTTACTTGAACGCTTGCGACGCGCGTATTAGATTTTTGGTTTGGGGTTTTTTTTTTGTCTTAGAATTTAGACTTGAGTTTAGATGGCAGGAGTGCTTAACGCCTGATATTTCTAGCGTCGACACAAGGGGTGCTGACGGGAAATTGGTTGTCTGTGTTTTTTTGGTCAAAGGTGTCTTTTGGTTATTTATGTATTGTATATTTTGTTATTAAAATTGTATTGTTGTATCTTAGCCGCTGAACTGAGTGTAGCTTCCTCCTCCTAGCTTGGATACCCCATCTGCACCTAGGGGAGCGTGGGAACCGACAATAGAGTCAGTAACGATTGCGCTGTGCCCTTCCGCTTCGTAATAGTAATGATTCTTAGTAATAGGTGGAGAGGAAGCGGAAGGGCGCGGTGCAGATGGTAGCAGAGCGTGGTTAAGTTAAGAGAGAGATTCTCTCTTGTTTCGTAGTCCCTGTCCTGGTTAGGAGACGTAGTGTTTGAGTGTACGTACTTTTGGAACAGGGTGTTGCTGGCTCGGCTAGAGAGTACTGCTATTTGTACTAACGTTATTGTTGTGTTCCATGCTTGTATGAAATGCCGTTAGCGTGGATATACGACTTGTCCAAGCAGCAGGCGAAGGAGTTGGCCCGTCAACTGGGCCTGTCTACTGACGGAACGCTGGATGACTTGCGGAAACGAGTTAAGGAAAAATGGACGGCCATCGAGCTCTGCTTGCCTTTTCCAAGTACAGCTAAGTCGTCTGTAGTTACGAAGCCAGTTTTGCAAAGTACTGATTCTGTGGGTTATCAGGGGTATTGTTTAAGTAAGGTCAAACTTAAGTTGGCGACCGATTTAATTTCGGCTATTCCGGTACTGTCTGGTACAGACCCGGAAGAAATTTTAACTTTCTTGATCCGGGCAAAGGGGATTTTTGACCTAAAATTGGTTTCAGATTCTGAGTTCATGGCGCTTCTGGTTAGCAGAACGTCGGGAAGGATTACGCAAATCCTGAGAGCACACGTAGGGACGACCCAAAGCTGGGGGCTGGTTCAAACGGAAATAATTTCCACGTTTCTTCCTTGTCGTGTGAAGGAACGCTTTCTAGCGTCGCATGTCCTTCAGAGGTTCCAATCTCCAGGGGAAGATTTGAATAGTTACGTCATGTCAGTGGTAGCGGCGGCGGATATCCTAGGATTTTCTGGCTCGGAAGCTCTGATAGTGCAGCGTATGCTGCAGAATTTACATCCCAAAGTAAAATCGTATTTGTTATTTGCAACTCGGCCCGAGTCTATTAAAGATTTGTTTTCGCTCGCTACTACAGTAGCGGAAGCAGTGGCTGTCGAGAACCAGCGTAAGCGGACGACTGCCTCCGCTCAACAGGGGTGTGTCTCCCGGCCGGTTGCAAGTGGTATGGTAATAGGCCGGACACCTGCTGCCAAGGCCGATTCTAGACGCAGCTGCTGGGGATGTGGAGCGCCTGGGCATAAGTTGAGTGACTGTCCATCTAGGCCTCACCAGAGGCGGGCTCCCGGAAGTTCGGGAAACGATCTCGGCGCGCGGGAGTAAGTGGTGGGTCCCGAGTGCCGAATCTAAGTCCACCTCGCAGAGTTTTCTTTCCTAGGGATTCGCGGCCCTCTCCCTTCGTGACTGTACGTATTGGGGACTTTTGTTTACCAGCGATGTTAGATTCCGGCTCCTCTCGATCCTTTATAAGATGCGATGTCTTGGATACCATTAAAAGGATCGAACCTGCCTTATACCATCGAGACAACGGAGGAACGATGTCTGATGGCGAATGAGGAACTGGGTGAAGGAGTTACGTTTTCAGGGTTAATCTTGGGACATCTACCCGAAGCCTTCCAGTCCATCAGGGAACATCAGAAGAAAGATCCTTTCTGTACGGAGATTCATCGGAAGGTAGCCCAAGGAGATTCAACTGTGAAAAACTTCAAGTTGTTGAATGGCGCCTTAGTTTATCACCCTTCGAGAGGTTGGGGAAGGCGCTATCTTCTGCCCGAGTCATTGAGACCTATGGTGCTAGAGTATTTTCATAGCTCTCACTTGAGCGCGCACCTAGGAATGATGAAGACGCTGAACCGGATTAGTAAGGTTTTTTTCTGGCCAGACGTGAGGCGCGAGGTTTACGCATTTGTGAGGCGATGTGAGGATTGCCAGAGAGCTAAGCCGGCTCCTGATACTAAGGTGGGCCTTCATAGTAGTGAAGTGGTGACACGCCCTCTCGAGCGTGTATTCATAGACTTTGTGGGTCCTATCGTAAGGAGTCGAAAAGGAAATATCGCCGTGTTGGTGGTGTTAGACGGATTTTCGAAATTTGTCTGTATGTATCCAGTCAGGAGAATATCGTCGGAGGTCGTGAAGACCTGTCTAATGGAGAAGTTCTTTCCGTCGTTTGGAGTACCGCAGTCGATTGTGTCAGACAATGCTGCGGTATTCAAATCGAGAAGCTTTTACAATATGTGTTTTTCCTGGGGAATTCGCCATATTACCACCTCCCCTTATTATCCTCAGGCGTCCCAGGTTGAACGCTTCAACCGCAACTTGAAGGTGGCGCTAGTTATCTACCATAACTCCCAGCATACGCACTGGGACGAACATCTGTCCTTGCTAGCTCTAGCCTTCAACTCAGCGTGGCACGAGTCGACTGCAGCCACTCCAGCCTCGCTGATTCTCGGTCGAGATTTGAACCATCCCTTGGGGCTAAAATGGAAATTGTCCGAACTGGACTTAGATAAGCATGCTAGGAGTAGGGAGGAATTCTGGGAGACGGCCTTAAATAATTTGAGAAAGGCCCGCGCCAGGGTTGCTGCTCGCTATGACGCAGGGAGGAGGCGAGCAGAGTTTCGTGTGGGCGATTTGGTCCTAGTGAGAACGCATCCGTTAAGTTCGAAATCCCAGCAGCGTTCCGCCAAGTTGGACTATAGGTGGTCTAGACCACTTAAGATTGTAAGATTCCTTTCGCCGGTAACAGTTCAGTTGGCAAATTCAGATACTGGAGTGATTGTCAGGAAAGCACATGTCTCGCAATTGAAGAGACATATTTCAATTGAGTGATTACATTGTGTATTGGTTTGCTCTGTCATTCAGATGTTTCTAAATGATGTATTATTTAGTATCAGTATGTACTTGCTATTAACTTACTAAATGATGTATTTACTTGCTATTAACTTGCTAAAAGGATGTATTTCAGTGTTAGTTAACTGCACAATTCTTCTTTCGAGCAGGATGGTATCCTAGTCCCCTCCATTGCCTATCCTAGGTGGGATGGAAATGGCGATCTTCGGAAGCAACCCCCCCCCCACAGCGTCAACAATCCGCCAGCCAACTCGTGTCGACTCGCATCAAGTGAAAGCTCTCCCGGCTCCGGTGCTGTTGTCCGTGTGGGCCCTTTATCGGACAGCGGCAGGAGCTAGTGAGGAAGAAAACATCTTATCGGTCAGCCATGGATGGCCGGAACGTTTGTGGATCGAACACGTGTCTGCGCCGAGTGCACTGTAGGGCTATACTCTGGACTCCTTGTCAAAGATGCCAAGCGTGTAGCTGGCAAAGTGAAGGGAGTGAGTAGGACCCCGAGGAGCCCTATACGATGAAGGGACTTCTATTTCGGCATGTGTCTTCGGAGGATTTAGGGCGGAAACTGGACACACTGTGGGGGTGATATAAATAGAGCATTGGAACTCTTGAGGAGCTCTGTGTGCGAGAGATTAGATGAGAGATGCTCTTCGAGAAGGGGGGGATAGTGAGCCGTGCTAAGCTTTAGCTCGCTCACGATGACATCATCATCTTTCCTGTCACAGTTCCATCCCCACTATGCGGGATCCTGACATAGTCACGTGGTCCCAGGTACCCTCTTGTGAAGGGGAGACTTGTGCAGTGCAGTCGTTTAGACCAAGTCGACTTCGAAGGTTGTTTACTAGCCAGCAGGTTTGTGGTGGAAAAGATTGCTTTCGGCTGGGGCGGTTCTAAATTCCCTTTGGTGTTATCTGCTGGCCGGTAAGGACTGCCTGCGGTCGCGAACCGTTACTTGAACGCTTGCGACGCGTGTATTAGATTTTTGGTTTGGGGTTTTTTTTTGTCTTAGAATTTAGACTTGAGTTTAGATGGCAGGAGTGCTTAACGCCTGATATTTCTAGCGTCGACACAAGGGGTGCCGACGGGAAATTGGTTGTCTGTGTTTTTTTGGTCAAAGGTGTCTTTTGGTTATTTATGTATTGTATATTTTGTTATTAAAATTGTATTGTTGTATCTTAGCCGCTGAACTGAGTGTAGCTTCCTCCTCCTAGCTTGGATACCCCATCTGCACCTAGGGGAGCGTGGGAACCGACAGTAGAGCCAGTAACGATTGCGCTGTGCCCTTGCAGAGATCATCGAGTGTGACGCGCCTATCCTGACACATGATTCGCTCAATCTTCGCGACTGTCTCGTCAGAAATTGACGGTCTCCCAGTTCTTTTTTTGTCATGTATTGCAGTACGACCAGATTCAAACTCCCTACACCACTTGCGGACGTTCTTTATGTCCATGCACGACTCACCATACACTTCCACCAATTGACGATGAATTTAAATTGGTTTAGTCCCTTTTGCGTTCAAAAACCGAATAACTGCGCGAATCGGGAGCTCCATTTCTAACGGCAACCGTGCCAAGACTGAGCGTCCTAGCTACGTGCGCGCATGCTTGGTGGTATTGGAGGGAGTGGGGGAAGCAACGAATGCAACGGCTGCCAACAGCCACACGAAAAATTACCCAGCGCTTTGGAGATCTTACTTTTGGAATCAGCTACGTAATTGCTGACATTTAAATTAAATCCGTCCCGTAGCCATTACCGGAATTTAAAGGTTAAGTCCAATTTGCTGGTAAAAAGATTTTTCTTGCTAAATGCAGCTTTTGCCATGGCAATCCTGGATTTAATTTCACTAGTACACCTCCCATCATCTGTTAACAAGCTACCCAAATATTTACAACATTTCACATTCACCAGTTGTTTTGGTCTATCTTTATTGTGACTGGGGTTGGTTCTCTCAAAATTTTCATTACTTTTGTTTTTTCCACATTCATTTCCATGCTATAGCACCTTCCAATTTCGATTAGTCTATCAATCATACCCTGTAGCACAGTTTCTTCCTTAGCCATTAACACAAGGTCATCTGTATATTTCACAGTTTGAATAATTTGTCCTCCTAATTTGACTTCTCCAAGTCCATCCAGAGCGTTGGTAAGGCATTCGCTGTACAAGTTGAACAAAATTAGTGATAAACAGCATCCTTATCAAAATCCTCTTCCAATCTTCACACTTCTTGTCTCCCCTCTGTCCAGTCATACTCTAACTTTCTGATCCATGTACAATTTGCTGATCAATCTTCTTTCACGCCAATCAATACCTGTTCCCTTTAGGATCTGCATTAATTTGGTCCAGTTTACATGGTCAAATGCCTTCTGCCAGTCTGTGAAGCAAACACACAGTTCTTCATCTATCTCCAAAGTTCGTTCTGCTATAATTCTCATCATCCCAATTGCATCACTGTTTCCTTTTCCTCTTCTAAATCCAAACTGATCCTCTCCAAGTATATCCGCTGTTTTCCTTTCAATTCTTCTTTTAAGTATCTTTGCTATTATCTTTGGTGTATGTGCAATAAGACTTATTGTGCGATGGTCGCTGCATTTTGCAGCTTTTGTCTTTTTCTTTAAGGCAATCATTGTCACTTCTGTAAAGTCCTTGGGCCACTCCCCAGTTTCATATATGGTGATTATTAGTTTTGTCAGTGTTCTCAAACCACCTTCTCCCAGTAACTTAAGCACATCTCCAGGTACATCATCATCTCCTGTAGCCTTTCCATTCCTCATGTCCTTGATAGCTTTTTCCAGCTCACTTTTTAAAATTTAAAACTAAATGTTGATACGATGGTGTCTGCTTTGCTTTAAATATTGAATATTGTTGTGTAGAGTGCATATTTCTGTATAGATTTTATGTACATCCAGAAGTAGTGGTCATTTTCTGGCAAAAACCAAACGTTTACACTGTCAAGGAATCTTGTGTGACAGCCTAGGAGATGACTCATATGGATTTGCTCATGGTATCAGGGTGGACATGTCTATTGAACTGATGCAATGCTGTTGCATCTTTTTGAGGCGTTTTATATATACACACACACCTATATACAGAGTGTCCCAGGAGGAATGGACCAAACTTCGGGAGGGTGTTCCTTACGTTAAAGTATGCCGATATAACCCAAAACACCTATGTCCAAAGTTGAATGGTTACGGAGATAATGGCCAGAGAAGTGTCAAACTTTGACCGGTGTTACACACTTGTTGATTTCAAAATACATATTAAAACTGGCAGGAATATGTGGATTCTATAATGTTAACAATGTACGTAACATCAAACTAACTTGTGAGTGACGTGAAGCCATAAAATTGAAGTACAAAATACTCACTCACCATGTTATAATTGTCCTTAGGGTTTCCAAGCACTATACATGACACATGACTGGCAAGCGCTGACGTAATATGGCTGACTGCGCATACTGGTATAAACAGACTACATAACTGTATTAAATGTACATTCACGGAAAATCTCTTTTGGAATTTCGTTTCACTTATCTCATGTGGATTATTATGGGACAACGTATGAATATTTCGTAAATTATTTACACCGTCCCGGGTGAACGACGCCTCGTCACTGAATAAAATGACGCTTAACAGTTTGGGATGAGCTTTTATCCAGTGGCAGAAATCCATACGCTGAGCATGGTCGCCTGGTTCCAGATGTTGTACCCTTTGATCATGGTAAGGATACAGCTCTTCGTCATGTAAAGTTTGCCACACCTGCATACGTGATACGCCGATGCGAGAGGCCATTCTACGAGTGCACAGACACGGACTTCTCTCAACCATCTCAAGAACGTTCTCTTGTGTGTTTCTCATTTGTACATCCTCTTTTTCCAACTGCACAGAAACACTCGGAAGAGAATGAGTCTCACGCAATGCCTGGTGCATTCGCGTAAATACACTTCGAGATGGAATCCTTCGACCGGGAAAACGCCTTTGGTATTCTTCAAAAGCAGCACATGCAGTGCCACCGCAAAATCCACACACAAAATGCATATCACAATATTCCACATGTGAAAACGCGAAAGGCATTTCAGCAACTCCACAAAACTAATTACCAACCATTCACGACGCCGCCGCAACATACTCTGTACGTAGCACATGAGCTTACTGCTATTGTGAATCACCACACTCAAGGACAAACATAGATAAGACGTCTCAGCTGCCAGATATAGTGCGTGGACCCGCCAGAAGACCACACTTTTCTCGGGCCATTATCTCCGTAACCGTTCAACTTTGGACATAGGTGTTTTGGGTTATATCGGCATACTTTAACATAAGGAACACCCTCCCGAAGTTTGGCACATTCCTCCTGGAACATTCTGTATATACAGGATGTTTCACGACTTTAGGGCATAACTGCAGGAGGTGTCCTAGGACTTTGTGATCAAAAAAGTTCATATAAACATGTGACCGGTTTTGAACGGTTATGGAGTTATGACCGTTTTTCATTCCCGTACACACCCTTGTGTGAACCACGTCTGTCTTCTGGCAGGTCGCTATTTTTAGCCACCTATGGGCAGAGTGTTCTTGTTATTTCGACACTTGAGAGGTACCTAAAGCATCATGGGTTGGTATGTCCGGGGCAGTTCACAACCGAGCGGCAGCCTGTGTTGCGACCGGCGGTGGCATTTTCGAAAATCAGCTTGAAGCACCAATAAATTCAAATTAAAGGTAATTTCACGAAGTTAATTTTACATTCATACTTTAAATGTATCATGTATTATGCCGGTTTATTATTTTGTTCCGTTCATTGTCGGTAATCGTTACCTTCTATTCTGAGTTTAAAACAGGCATTACTCCCTAACCATCCAAAATCGAACACATGTTTATATGAACTTTTTTGATCACAAAGACCTAGGAAATCACCTCCTGCAGTTATGCCCTAAAGTCGTGAAACACCCTGTATACACAGGGTTATTCAAAAAGAATGAACCGATTTTATTACGCAATATTTTATTAAAGGAAAGTAATACATAACTCCAGCAAAGTCACAAGTATTCTACTCACAATCAACTTTTATTTCCTGTCTTACAAGTGTTCAATGTGGCCACCACCTGCAATATGGGCAACATCAGTGCGATAAGAGAATTCCTCCCAGGCGGGTATCAGCATATCATGATGCACTGAGTTAATAGCTGTTGTTATGCGATGTTTAAGGTCTTCGAGGTTAGTGGTTAGCGGTGGAACATAAACATGATATTTTACATATCCCCACAAGAAGAAATCACGCACGGTGAGGTCTGGGGATCTCGCAGGCCAAGCACAAAGAGCAAGGTCTTTGGCCCCCTTCTGACCAATCCATCGCTTGGGCACTTTTTCATTTAAAAAAGCTTGGACAATCGGGTGCCAATGGGGCGGTGCTCCATCTTGTTGAAAAATGAAGTCATGCGAATCTGCTTGCAGTGAAGTGAAGAGCCAGTTTTGGAGCATATCGAGATAGATTTGTCCTGTAACGGTGTTTCCTTCAAAGCAAAAGGGACCATAAATTTGTCCTGAGACACAGCACAGAAGATGTTCACCTTAGTGGAATCACTTTCATCAACTGTTTCATGTGGGTGCTCTGTTCCCCAAATATGCACATTGTGACGATTGACTGTGCCGCTCAAGTGAAAAGTCACTAAAAATTAAATGTGAAATGAAGGTTTTGTCTTCCATCATGTCCAGCATCGAATTGCAAAATTCCATCGGCTTCCTTTTGTCATAATTGGTAAGTGCCTGAACGAGCTGCAGTGTGTATGGTTTCAAATGTAGTCGTACTGTTAGCACACGCCAGACAGTGGATTGAGGGAATCGCAAGCTCACGGCTAGCTCGATTTTATGACTTCCGCAGGCTCCTCTCAGACGCATCACTGATTCTCGCCACTTGTTACTCCGAGACTCGTGGTCGTCCTGATCTTTTTCCTTTACACAGGCTCCCACTCTCTTGAAACTGTCGAAACCACTGTCGAATGTTCTTAGGACAGGGCGGATTAATGCCTAATCACCTTCGAAACGCACGCTGCACTGTGACAACCGAATTTGTTTTCGCGAACTTGAGAACGCAGAACGCGTTTTGCAGAGGACTCGCCATTCCGAGGGTAAGCGAACAACTGAACATTGCTGGAAGAATGACGCGACTTCAGCGCCCCTGTGGCAGCCCTTCACAACTTAGATAACTCCTCTTTGAAATGGTTACTGACTCATTCCATGACGATGCTTGAGAACTGAAGCAATGCGCCACGAAATCGGTTAATTCTTTTGAATAATCCTGTTTATTATATGGGGTCACGTGTAGGTGGGGTTTTGCTGGGCCATATACAGCCTTTCTTAATATCATTTTTAGGTCAGCCTTTATTGTTATTTCATTTTAGGAGCATATCCACTATTAATTAGATGCCTGTCCAGCCTTACAAATGCATAATTTTATTTAATATTGTAGTTGTTAAACAGTGGCAATTCAGCTTAACTTTTGTTGAATCAGAAACCTCTATACATGCTGATGTGCGCTCTCTCTATCCCTCCCTCCCATCTCTGTCACAACTCTCATGCCTACCAGTTTAACATCTCAATGTATTTGGACTTCAAACTTATTTCTCTTCCTATTAGGATTTTTCATGTTATTTACTCTCATTTTCCAGGGTAATTTGAATGAACTTCAACCTGTACGTGGTGAGGAGCGACGATATTCCTGTGATGAGTGTGATGAATCACTCGGTCAAGAGCAAATTCTGATAGCACATCGACACATACATAGTGGGGAGCAGTCATTTTGTTGTGGTGTGTGTAATAAGACATTCAGTCAGCAGAGTCATCTGAAGAAACATCAGCGCATACATAGTGGGGAGAAGCCACTTTGTTGCATCATGTGTAATAAGTCATTCCGCCTTAAGAGTGGTCTAAAGAGGCATCAGCGCATACATAGTGGGGAAAAGCCATTTTGCTGTGATGTATGTAATAAGTCATTTATTCAACAGAGTAATCTGAAGACACATCAGTGCATACATCGTGGGGAAAAGCCATTTTGTTGTGATGTATGTAATAAGTCATTCAGTGATCAGAGTAATCTGAAGAAACATCAGCGCATACATAGTGGCACAAAGCCATTTTGTTGTGATGTATGTAATAAGTCATTTGGTGATCAGAGTACTCTGAAGATACATCAGCGCATACATAGTGGGGAAAAGCCATTTTGTTGTGATGTATGTAATAAGTCATTTGGTGATCAGAGTACTCTGAAGATACATCAGCGCATACATAGTGGGGAAAAGCCATTTTGTTGTGATGTATGTAATAAGTCGTTCATTTTGAAGCGTAATCTGAAGAAGCATGTTTTCGTACATAGTGGGGAAAAGCCATTTTGCTGTGATGTATGTAATAAGTCATTTAGTCTGAAGCGTAATCTGAAGATACATCAGCAAATTCATAGTGGTGAAAAGCCATTTTGCTGTGATGTATGCAATAAGTCATTCCGTGATCGGAGTCATCGGAACAGACATCAGCTCATACATAGTGGAGAGAAGCCATTTTGTTGTAATGTATGTAATAAGTCATTTATTCAGCAGGGTAATTTGAAGAAACATCAGCGCATACATAGTGGCGAAATGCCATATTGCTGTGATGTATGTAATAAGTTGTTCGGTGATGAGAGTTATCTGAAGATACATCAGCGCATACATAGTGGGGAAAAGCCATTTTACTGTGATGTATGTAATAAGTCATTTAGTCACAAGTGTAACCTGAAGACACATCAGCGCATACATAGTGGTGAAAAGCCATTTTGCTGTGATGTATGCAATAAGTCATTCCGTGATCAGAGTCATCGGAACAGACACCAGCTCATACATAGTGGAGAGAAGCCATTTTGTTGTAATGTATGTAATAAGTCATATAGTCAACAGAGTCTTCTGAAGAAACATCAGCGCATGCATAGTGGGGAAAAGCCATTTTGTTGTGATGTATGTAATAAGTCATTCAGTGATCAGAGTAATCTGAAGAAACATCTGCGCATACATGTTGATGTGTGTAGTAAATCATAGAGCAGTAGAGATGAGTTTAGACTAAAGGAAAAGTATGTGGCTTGTAGCATGCAACAGTATTTCATGTTGTAAGTAAGACAGTTTTGCTGTGTGGCATGCTTCAGTTTTTTAGAATGCTACAATATATTGGAGTTGATTGCTGTTGCTAACCTTTTGAATCGACAGGAAATGAACTGAATCCCATGGTACAAAACATCTGTGCAAATGAGTTCCATTTGATTCTGACTGCTGAATGTGCACAATGCCCTGTCTTGTTGAGTGGAAACAGACATGACATGACATTCTCCTACAGTTATGATGTTAATTCAGCACTGGAAGCTAACGAATAGTAGAGTGTAGTCACTGAAACGGATCAACAGCTTATACACATAATTCAACAGCATTATATGCTTTTTGCTGTATGTTATCTATGCTCTTCTGCCATTACATGTGATTGAATTCATTGATCAGTTAGTTTCAGATTGATATATCACTTGGATTGAGTATATTGAGATAGATATTATGGATTGGTCAGATGAATACAAACTACGCTGTATTGGACATTGCAAACGATATATCTGTTTGCAGGATACTTGGTATATTGATTATAAAAAGAAAGTTTAATAAAGGTGGTTTGATTCTACTTGTTGAGAAATGAAGTAGTACAGAGAATTTAATTGAAAGGATCAAGAAAGACTTGCTTACATCTTTTCATTGTGAATATCAGCAGAGAAACTGAGTGGTCTGTCATGAGATCAGAAAAGAAAGTGGTTTGGCACTGAGGCTCTCCTTTTTGCTTTAGGTCTCCTTTGCGTTAGAGGGAAAGAGTCAACGGAAAATTGTGAAATATTCTGTAATAAAATTAGGCTATGTGATTAATATTATTAATTGGAATTCAGAGGTTTCCCTATAGAGGAATGATGCAAGAGGAATAGCTTTTAAATATACTTAAATTCAGTGCAGTTATGCCCCTCCTTCCATACCTGTTTTCTTCACTGCCTGAATGAACTGCAACATAACTGAAGGTAATTCTTGGTCACTCTGAGCAAGTGATCTCTGATTTCTGACACTTTTTTCTGCCAAGGAACGCTTGCTTCATTTTTCATAAGATGTCCCATGCATTCATCCTTCAATAACTTTGCATCAGCATAACTCTTTCTCATGTGTCACCACACGTTGGCTGTCGCTGCATCACCAGAACTGATCTGCTGCATGGTCCTGGAATGTGTGTTCCATTTTGTGTCTCTTCACCATATAATGTAGTGGGCAGTGCACAAATGGATTTGCAAGTTGCAGTTGTCCTCAGAAAAGTGTGAAGGTAGGCTGATGATGTGTATTCTTTGTGCTTAAAGAAGGGAATATGGAGTGAAATTATCTGGCTCAGGATAGGTGTAATGGTAATGAACCCTTACATTCCATAACATGTTGGTAATAGATTGAGTAGCTGAGCAACTAGTAGCTTCCCTGAAAAGGTGCAGCTGTGCGAAGTTGGTTAATATTTGGCGATAGAACTTCTGGCTTGATTGTTTGGAACTGGAATTTGGTGTTGACCCCATCCTGCTGAAGCAACCCTGATGTGTCTCCGATGGTCTGTAAGTCTGGGTTTAAATGTAGTTTATGTCTGTTATTCAGTTGAACTCTCTCACATTTTATGCATTTATGTCTACCATGATTGTGCCACAGCACATTTCTCTTTAATCCTTATCATAAGAATGATTTAGTGGGATTTTTTTAAGACTCCTTTTGTGATTGTATACACAGCTGTCCAAAAAAGTATCCGACATTTTTTCCGCTGTAAGTAATGACCAAAGGCGTGTGGAAACTGAGTGTATTGGTAGAAGGGACTTTCATGTGCATGCGCGATTTTTTGCTGACTCGTAACACTGTGGTAGCGTCTGCGGCTGCCAGATAGCGAAGTGGTGTAACATGTGTAAGTTTTGAGGTTTTCACGGTGATGACTATGAAGAAAGTCATCTTCTGGGTTTTGGCGTTGTGTATTCTTCGTTTTGGCCGATGTTCCTCTGAAACGTTGGCCAAAATGAAGAATACACAGCGCCAAAACCCAGAAGACTACTTTCTTCATGGTGTAACATGTGTTCTTCACATTCTCGTTTCGCTCAAGATGACAGAATGCTTGGAGCAGCGATACTGCATCAAGTTTTATCATAAACTTTGGGATACCCCAGCGGAAACAATCTGCAAAATTCAGCAGACTTTTGGCGATGATGCAATGGGGTTCAATCAAATTAAAGGGTGGATTAACCGCTTTAAAGATGGCCTATGTCGGCAGACAGTGACCAGCATTCTGGGAGACCGTCAACGAGCCAAAATGCTGATGTCACTGAAAAAGTGTGGACGCTGATCATGGAGGACCGTCGTTTGATGAGGCTCAGATCAGCCGAGGTTCCACCAACACAATTTTAACTGAGGATTTGAGCATGCGAAGAGTGGCGGCCAAATTTGTGCCCAAGCTCCTTTTACCGGAGCAGCAACAACTCCGCCTTGAGGTCACACAGGACATGGTGGAGTGCACCAGCAGGGATCCTGAGTTCCTCAAGACTGATCACTGGTGATGCATCAAGGGCGTATGGATATGACCCGGAAACCAAGGTCCAGGCATCAAAATGGAAGCATCCAACATCCCCGAGGCCCAAAACAGCACTACAGGTTTGGAGCAAGGTGAAGGTGATACTGACTTTTTTTCTCAAATACCGGGCTTTTGTGCATCATGAGTACGCACCACTAGGCCAAACTGTCAATAAGGAGTACTACCAAGAAGTCCTCCACCTTCTTCGTGATGCCGTTTGGCGCAAGAGACTGGAGCTGTGTGACGCACGCAACTGGTAGCTGCATCATGACAATGCCCCAGCTCATTCATCACACCTGATCCAGGGTTTCCTGGCCAAACACAGCATTCTGCAGGTTTGCCAGGCTCTCTACTCTCCTGACATGGCTCCTTGTGATTTATGGCTGTTCCCGAGGTTGAAGACACTGGTAAGAGGCTCCTGTTTTCATAGCTGCGAGGACATCCTACAGAACGCAATGGCGCAGCTGCACGCCATTGCAAAAGAAGCCTTCCAGAATTGCTTGCAGTGATGGAAGGACGACTGGGCTATGGGTGTGGAGTCACAAGGGGCCTACTTTGAAGGGGATTAGGTATTGTAACTACCCAGATACAGAACTTTGTTTTCCCGGCCCAAGGTTGTATACTTTTTGGGCAGAATAGTATGTCTGTGGTTCATGTAATATGTGTATGAGGGAGAGTCAGCAAACAGGTCACAAATGGAAGTAAAACAGCTATAATGGATGTACATAATAGGTTTTCTATGTGCATCACTAGGTACCAGCATAGTCTAGCATCATGACAGTCTAAGTAGCAGGCCTGTGTGCATATGTTAAGAGGCTGATTTCAGTAGCCAAAATGATGACCGTGCTCGAGTGTATACTACTGAAGTGCATTGTTGCGTTGTGTTGTGCATTTTCTGTGGGCAAAAGGACTGAGTCCAAAGGATGATCATAAGGAAATGCTTCCTGTTTACATTGGGAAGTGTTTGTTGCATAAAGTGGTTTACAACTTGATTGAGAAATTCTCTCAAGACTGTTAAAAAGTTGCAGATGATGCCCGACCAGGTCACCCTGTTGATGTTGCAACAGAAGCAACTGTGCGGCAGGTGAAAGAATTGATTCGAGCTGACAGGAGGATGACAGTAGACAGTTGAAGTTGCACTAGCATATTATGATTGTCCAGTGCCTCCAAATGTGATCTATGTTGACCTTTCTGGCCTCTGCCTACCTAGATAAGGGCACAGATTCCATCTATGAGGTGGAGACACCCATAGTGAGGATTCCATTAACCCCATTGGTAGGATGATCATGAAAGTGATGGTTGGCAGTGGGTGCACCTAGTAGTGTTCATATTCCCATAATGTTATCTTTGGTAGGAGTGATGGTTTCAGTCTGTGAATAGAAGATCTATACACATCTGACTGACAATCAAACTCAGGACCCTCTGAATGATGGTCCAGGATCTTAACCCAGCACCACTAGTTTCCCATGTATCCCATAAACCCTTCCAGAGATTTTGTTCGAATTTAATGTGGGAGACTCTTGCTAATTTGTATTTCACTATTCCCATTTAAATATGAAGTTTTAGATTTAAGAGAATGTTGTTGGTAATTCTGTGCGCTGTGTTATGGAGTACACCCTTTCCAGCTTTGTTTACTTAGTAAAGAACTTGTAATAATGGCATAGTGTTTTTTTTTTTTTTTAATTCTAAGATACTAATAGCACTTAGATATAAATGCAGTATAATCTGTTTAGTATTTTTCAATTCCAGGCTGACTAGAGTGTTAAAAAGGTTTGGTGAAGGTGACTGGTAGTTGGCGACTCTGATATGTCAGGTGATCTGGAACTGCTGCATTGAATCAGTGAATCTCCATGCTGCTCTGGGCATTGATCAAACAAATCAGTTACTGGGAATATTGGTGGACTTTTTAGGTGAGGTGACCACAAGAATCCTCAGGCATTAGATCTACTTGGCCTGTTAACAGATGTTACAAGACAGAATTTTTCCATCTTTTTCATGCCTTCTGAATCATCTCCTTCCAGTAGACTGTTATTCTCAAGTGTCACCCTCATCTTTGCACATGTGCAGATATAACAATATTACATTATATATTTATAGTTTAATGGCTCTGTTAGTAGCCCAGACTATGTAGCATCAAGCAGCAGGATGATTAATGAATAATGAATTAGAAAACTTCCAGAAAGAAATGATCATGGCATAATTTGAGTTAGTATCCTGGCACATTTCTGGAAGGTCTGAGGAAAATGATGAGGAACCCTAGTCAGGACATTCATTCATCTGTAATCTATCAAGACGACAGGTCCACAGTCTCTTCCAAAACAGTTCCTCCACTTGATACGAT